TGCAGTTATGTTGGAAGCTCCCTGACTGTGCGGAATCCTATTGGTCAGTAAGTTCAAAATAATAGGAATGCTATTGAACGTTGTGCATAGTCAGGTTCAAAAAAGCAAACAATAACATATAACAAAGGAGTCTAACGGGTTTCATAACCATTCCAGTTTGACTATGGTCTAAGCAAACCATTGGAATGCACCATCTTTTATGAAAGGTACCTAATGAAACGGGATATTAAATTTCTCATTTATTACAGTGCACATCAACCTCGTTCCCAGGGTTCTCTCTTACCCGGCCTTTCTCGCTCCGTAGGGCGGGTAGGAGAGAGCCCTGGGTATGAGGTTGAGTGCAAAGTCCTTTCTTTTAATTAAACATACTTGATTGTTGGTTTAGTCGTTCATGATTCATAATCGTTCAGTCATCGCCTTCAGGAATGCGGACTGGAACTCTCTGCAGGACACCAACAACAGAACAGATTACAGTTTCAGTTTATTTTTATCTGCCAGAAAAATATATATACTAACAGACATTCAATATATTACAAAAATATTAGTTAAAAATTAAAGAGAAGTAAACTTTAAGTAAAAGAATTAAAACTATTTTTCTGGCGAGGAAGCTTAAATTGAAACCTTGGCTAATTAAATTACAGCTGTAAGTATCAAAGGAAAAAGGGTACCAGGCACGATCACCAATTATACTTCGATAATAATTCATGCAGAATCTTTGTCCAGTACACCGTAATCGAGCAAGGTAAAGAAAGGCTCTGCTGTCAGGGTGCACGTTTACACGCCTAATATCATGGGTGACGAATAGAGAGGAGAAGTGTGACGTCACGTTACCATGGTACCAAAATTTCTGGATCACAACAACAGTGACCTTAAGCAACGACGATGGCGATGGCAACGAGAATGGCAAAGTAGCAATAGGTTTAGATAAGCAAAACAATAATTTTGTTCATTTCTTAGCCGTCGTTACACGACTGCGACATGAAACTTCTAAATTTCACGCGCCCGCTTTATGGAGTAGATGAACACAACACAAATTTCCTTTTCCTTTTTCTAAACTTTGATGCGATTCTTTCGAATTCAACCCCAGAAAAGTTCGCCAAAATTTGACAAAGTAAATGAAATTGAATAAGATCGATGACTTGCCACTCTCAAGTGGATTCCAAGAAAAAAGGCGTTTTTTCAGAGAAGATGTATTTATATGTATAAGCGTTTAAATGGATCTGATGAGCATGATATGAACTTCAAAAGACAGTAAGAACAACATGATTATAACACCAGAACTAAGCTAAATTTCAGACTTCCAAGTGTCAAAAGGAATTGGGGCGAACAACGGACGCCATTTCACGCCATCATGGATTTTAACTCCCATAGTCAGGCAATCAGACAATCCGTGAATCTGAATATTTTTAAAAACGTAATCTTTTTAAATTTGTAGTTTAAATGAATTTGAGTTAATATCTTGCACATTATATATTTTAGCTTTTTAACGTCTTCGCAAATTGTGTGTATTTTGTATTTTTTAAATTTTATATGATCTTTTTTGAAAGCCATATTTTATACGAAAAACTTATCTCAATAAATTAAAGATAATTATCATTATTATTATTATTGTTATTATTATTATTATCATTATTATTATTATTATTATTATTATTATTTTCATAACTCACAAAACATCTCCTACCTCTCTCAACCTATCACATTCCTGCGAACAAAAGAAGATCAGCAGTTAAAATAATTTTTTTGGCATTCGATTCTACTTTGTACAGCAATTGCTGCAACACAAAAACGAAATTGTTTCGTTTGCTAATTTAACAACTCGTTCTAAGTGGTAGGTTGTGGCTCGTTCAAACGAAGCCATTTTTAATCGCAAAGCAAAATTTATTATCTTGTCCAGACGTTGCGTTTTTTAATCGCTTTTGTCCGTCAAAAAAAGTCTGTTTCTGTTTGAAGTCGAATATTATTTTTAACGACTAGTCGTCTCTCCTCACCTCTTCATTTCTCCTTTGCAGGTTACTTATGCGTATAGCATATGTTTCAATTTCGATTCCTCTTCTCTACAAAATACATAAAGTAGTAAAAAACAATCAAGTAAGAAAATATCTTACTACAGTCAATCCTTTATTAACCGGTTAGCCTCAGTTGGGTAGAGGGCAGCATATCATACTTATGAATCCTTATGGGTACATATACGGGCGTTGCATGGAACATACTTAGCACTCTCGTAAGTTTCTGCTTTACATCGTACCTTACGGCCTCACTTAAGGGCATAGGTGCCTTTGTTATGGTACTTTTAATTATTAATGACTCACTCTGTTTTACAAGTAAACTATCGGTGAGTGTAAATAAAATGTCTAGTCCTTTGAAACACTTTTAAGCTTCTGTTAAATGAACAGGGAAAAGGAGGTTTTAACTAAGATAAAGCTTTATATCAAGAAAAGAAAGTGATCTTCGAAAAAATTCTTTCTTTTTTAGAAATACATATCAGCAAAGTCCCGGCTAAACTACTCCTCAAGAGCTTATCCTTTTTACAAGAATTCCCATTTTTAACTTCATGTTCTTCTTTTGACCGGTCTTCAAATAACTTCTCAATCTCCCTTATATTACTGGAAGTCAAATCTTTTTTTTTTTTTATCGATTTCTATCGATTGGTATCAGATATAGATATCAATCGATTGTCGGTTTATGAATTGACTACTCATGGTGTAGCGTGCTGGTATCGGGTCATGGCTTACAGAACGAGGTATTTCACCACTAGACCTATGGTAACTCCAGTGGACTCCACTGAATAACTATTCTGGCCTCCCCTACATTAAAATGTTAAAACGTCCGGTTTCATTTCACGGCTAGACATCTGGTAACTTCAATACGCACCTTATTCGCCCCCTAACATTTTGCATAAGCATTGTTTTCAGTTTCTCTTGGGACGGCTGTAATACCCAGGAGAAATGAAAAACAAAGGTTATGCAAAATTTGGGGTGGCAAATAAGGTGCATTATGGGATATATGGAAGTGGTGTATGGACTCAAGAGGGTCTCAATGGGGTTAACCGATAGGCGTAAAACGGCCAAAAATTTAGGCGATAGCCGTAAAAATTGAAAAATTTTAACCGTTAGCCGTAAATGGGGTAAAAAGAATTAACCGTAAAAAAAATTTGTTCCCTAGATTTGTTAATTTTAAGGAAGGTGCTAAACTCACTTATGACCTGTTGCGTTTCTTATTTCGTTGCTACTTTGACTCCGTACATGTCGTACATGTGGTTCATACGTTTTTATAGGCCAAGCTCGTTTTCAGGACCCCCGGTAGTCTCACTTGACCTCACTTGGCCTGCATTTTGTAGGACAAGTTGACAGCTTTTTGTTTTTAGATCTCCAATTTCTTCACCCAGTGTACATGTGAGTTGAACAATGTCGGTATTGAAAGCTGTTGTTAGTTTTTATCGAACGGGTGAGGAAAGGCCAATCGAAAGGTACAAGGCAAGACTCAAAGTCCAAGAAGAGCATCGGACACTTTCAACGTTCAAGAAAAACGTTATTGACTTTCTTGGTCTTAACGAGCAAGCCAGGAAGTTCGGTCTTGGGTCATTTGACCTTAAACTTTACCGCCTCGCCAAAATCAGCGGCAAAATAGAAAATTATTCTTTATCGACCCAGCAGCAGCTAGATCTGGAACTACCCCTGTTGCTTGACTCAGATAGTGAAAGCGAGCTGAACAGTAAGTACTCTTAAAGTTATGAATTTTGTACTAAGATGCCGCGTGGCACGAAATTTTTGCGGCACTTTTATCTTGCGGATTGCAGAAACTAAATTAGCTCCCCAAACGTTTGGGGAGCTAACTGTTTCGATAGCGAAAGTCTGGTTTTCTTGCTGGGGATTAATATTTGTGATTTTCAGGAGGTCGTGCGCTCGAAATACGAGTAAAGCATCTAGCAGAGATGTCACTGTTTGTAAAACACGTTGCCGGTAAACATTGTCAATTTGTAACAATTCCCTGTTCTTCTCCGACGCTGCTGCAGACAGTCATTCTGTACAGTCCTTCGCTATCGTAAAAAACACTGGACCCTGAAATTTTGTTTTGTTTTTGTTTTTTTTTTTATAACTGGATGCCTACTTGCAGATGCATTATTGATTCACGTGAACAACAGATAATAGAAGCTGCAAAATACGCCTCTGACATTCACAGGAAGTTGATTTATTTTCATAATGAACTGTTATCAGGAATGATCATTTTCATCCCTCACAAAAGAAATGTTAGTTCACTGGCAATAGCTTAAACCTTTTTTTCTGTTTTAAACAAAGAGCACATGTCATTTTAAGAAAATGAGATCGAAAAATCTCATATTCAAAGATCTTCAAAGCCGTGCTTCTCAGCTTAGCTCCGACACTTTTAAATGTGAGTCTAAGAGTCACGGAAATGTAAAGTTCTCAATTTATTTGCGCGTCCTTTTTCAGTTCACGTTGTACAGTCTGTTCTTCAGTGGGGAAAAGAGCCTATCGTGTTAATAAAAAGAGAAGAGGTTAGCAAAAAAAGCAACGCGAATAACGAACCAGTAGCGCCAAAGAAGAGGAAATCGCGCCAAAATGCAAACGAAGACAAACAGCTTGCAAAAAAACTCAAAGAAGATAACGAAGGAGTTGCACGAACTGCCAGACAACTAAGCGAACTAAATGAGCTTAATGCAGGTAATGAAATCATTAAATACAAATTATCATTTTTCATTTTACATTTTTAAATAATTATAGCGAACATGAGAGTTATGACTAAATAAGTTATATTTTTTAGTATTAATAGTTTTCTATTCTCCAATTGTAAATGGCTATGCATTCCAGCCTGTTAGCTGATATTTTTCACTATCCATCTACCCTACACTTTCTAAAGTGTACAGAATGTAATTCAGTGAATACGACTTAATTATATAAGGCTACGTCAACCTAAATTACAGACTACTATGCAAACATTTATATGGAAATTTCAGGTCTTTGTTGTTCTTTGTTTCAGAACTTGCAAAACTTGAAGGTTCGACAGCAATAAACGAGGGTAAAATCAAATGCGGTCTTTGTTGCAAGTCGTATACCGTTCAACTTGACAGAGCCACAGCAGGGAAGATATCATTCTTCAAAAGAAGTAGGTTCAGTTTTATCATAATAAAATATGTAACATTACTTGCCTTGTAAGAAAGCAGTTAATAGTCAACTTTTAATACGGACACATTTAAGCGATTTCCTTTTCCTATTATTGACCTTTAAATAAAGGTAGAATTTTCATCCGATCATAAAAGTAAATTAGTAATAATGATACTTACAAATAAAAACAAACTAGCACTGATATTCTTTCCTATTTCAGCTCACTTCAATATGTGCCAGAAACAGAGAAACGCTGAGGTTAAAGGAGTTAAAACATTAGAAAATTTCTTCGCCAATTTAACTGCAAAATCTACACCTGCACGTGCTAGCTTTGCTGAGACTGGGTTAAATGACAACGACCAAGAACAGTTTGACGGCGCTGACGCAATCGTTTCAGAGAAGTAATGGCATCAGCCTATGACTTGTGACATTGTTTATTTGTGTGGTTAGAAAAATAAGTGTATCTATTGCAGATCACAAGTTTATGTCATAGATGTGTTATTGTCTATCGTTACAGTTGCAAACAGCACTTTAAAAAGAGACAAAGCTCTCAAAGCTCTCTTTCGTTGTTTTTTTCCCTTCTACTCGATTTAGTTATGATGAAATCTTTAGAATTCTAGCAAATAAAGGTGAATATATTCAAGCTATTTCCAAACCCTGTGGTACGTTTCTTGAACACCACTGCATGGTTGTTTTATCCGACAAAAAGTGCTATCAAATTACTCGATCGATAACACGAAAGTAAAAACAACAACAACAACAATCAGGCGAGGAATAGCCGGGGAGAAATCTGTGCGAACAAGTTGACCCAGAATTTTTTATTTTACAGTGAGAATGAGGATCTAGATATCGATAGCCCTTTCGTTACAACTTTACCTTTATGTTCCAAGATATCAGAATGCGATTCAGAGGAGCCTGAGGACAAAAATAACCAAGGTCCTACCACAAGCGGTGAAGTAGACACAGAGCATATAGCCGATGACCTCATATCCTGCACTGTGTAAGTTTAAACAACAATATGTTTTGTCGGTTTTGCAAAAAGGTTGTGTTTCTCAAGTGAAAATTCAAATAACCGATTATAGATGTCTTTGTATTCCACAGCTGCGTAGATAGTGCTCATCCAATAGCCGAAAAGCTGAACAAACTTATCAAAGAAGGGAAGATCCCAGAAGAATGCCTTTATTACAAGTTTCTTAACGATACAACGTCTTTTGCCATGATCGACTCCAGCAAGGCGTCAGACTTCCATTGGGACCATGAGGTCTGTGAGTTTTTTGAAACCATTAAGTACCTAGGGGGTCAAAGAACGAGAAATTTTGTAAGAGGCCCTGGATTTCATGGAACTGGACGCGGTGGAAAGAAACAGTTTACAACTTTTGCAGATTTTAATCTCTGTGGTCCGTCCATTAATGCCTCTAATCATTGCAAAGCAGGTTATACAACGGATAGTGGGATAATTAAGCCTCATTTGCAATCTTTTCATGCGTTTTCTGATCACCCGAAAGCTGATATCAACTATTTAGTGAAAAGCGACGATGTCCAAGTCATAGGAGTATCGCTGGCTATGGATGGAACAGTTCTTAAACCTGGCCTAGAATTCGATATCAGGCAGAAAAGGATCATTGGCTTAACCTTTAAAGTAGACTGGAATTATGTCTGCGACCACGCTGTTGCGGACCCTCAAGAAATTAAAAAAAAATCTCATTACAAGCGCTGAAGTTACTTTTATGACGTCAGTCGACAACAGCCGACGATGCCAGTTGGTGTTCATTACCATCCGAAATCCGTATCTGGTGTAAAGATGTTGTCGCAGATGCTTGGGGTAGCAAAAACTGTACAAGTCTGTGAACGCTGTCTGACGAAGCAGTCTCTGCAGAACCACATCGTTAAACATGAAAATGCGCACTGTAA